GGCAGCAGAAACCCAAATCTCTGTTAGCTTCAGTTTCCTCATCTGTAAAATGAGGATAATAATAATGCCACCACCCTGGGTTGTTGTGAGGATTAGATAAGATAATAATTGTAAAGCACTTAGCACAGTGTCTGGCATATTGTAAGTGTTACATAAATGTTAGTTGTTCTTGTTGTTGTTAGTCATAATTAACATTACTCTGAAAATGAGGCACAACACAAAGGGGAAATTCATAGGGTGAGCGCTACAAAGCAGTAGCAGAAAGTGCCTACAGGGAAGTCCCTAGAATGGATATGTTGAAAATTTTGATAGCATGAAAAATACAGAGAAAAGAGGGATACTTTTACAACCAGTGTCTCTGATAAGGACCTCATTTCTAAAATATATAGAGAACTAAGTCACATTTATAAGAATACAAGTCATTTGCCAATTGATAAATGGTCAAAGGATATGAATGGGCAGTTTTCAGATGAAGAAATTAAAGCCGTCTATAGTCTTATGAAAAAATGCTCTAAATCACTATTGATTAGAGAAATGCAAATCAAAGTAACTCGGAGGTACCACATCACACCTATCAGATTGGCCAACATGACAAAACAAGAAAATGATAAATGTTGGAGATGATGTGGGAAAATTGGAACACTAATGTGTTATTGTTGGTGGAGTTGTGAAATGATCCAGCCATTTTGGAGAGCAATTTGGAACTATGCCCGAAGGGCTATAAAAATGTGCATACCCTTTGACCCAGCTATAGCACTTCTGGGCTGTATTCCAAAGAGATCATACAAATGGGAAAAGGACCCACATGTACAAAAATATTTATAGCAGCTCTTTTTGTGGTGGCAAGGAATTGGAAATTGAGAGGATGCCCATCAATTGAGGAATGGCTGAACAAGTTGTGGTATATGAATGTAGTGGAATACTATTGTGCTATAAGAAATGATGAGCAGGCACACTTCAGAAAAACCTGGAAAGACTTGTATGGACTGATGCTGAGTGAAGTGAGCAGAACCAGGAGAATGTTGTACACAGTAACCGCCATGGTGTGCAATGACTAACATTGATAGACTTAGCCCCTCTCAGCAATGCAAGGATCTAAAACATCTCCAAAAGTCTCATGATAGAAAATGCTATCCACATCCAAGGAAAGAACTTTGGAGTTTGAATGCAGATCGAAGCATACTATTTGCTATTTTTTCTTCTGTTTTTTCTCTTTCTTGTGGTTCCTCCTATTGGTTTCTACTTCTTCCTTACAACATGACTAATGTGAAAATACATTTAATAAGAATGTATATGTATAGCCTATATCAGATTGCATGCTGTCTTAGGGAGGGAGGGGGAGAAAAATTTAAAACTCAAAAACTTATGGAAGTGATTGTTGATAAATCAAAATAAATTAATAAAAATAAGGAGGATACCAGTAGAAGTCATGAACTAGAGAATGAGAGTCTGGAGTAAACAGAAAGGGAAGATGGATAATGAAGAGAGTGAAAGAAATCCTTTTTGGAGAGGAGTGCAAAAAAAAATTTAAAAACTAAGGCACAGGACTAGCTGAAGGGGAGGAAAGGAAAGGGACATATCAAACAAGAAGAAGGCCTCAGGAGTGAGGGGACGAAAGCCAATCTTAAAAAAAAAAGATTAAAGTAACTAAAGGACTATAATACTGTATTTACAGCAGAAGAGGGAACTTGAAACTGAAAACTTTTTCACAAACAACATTAATGCATCAAGGATAAGAAGGGAAAGGGTCAAATGGGAAAAAAATCTTTATCAAATTTCTGATAAGGCTTGTGATCTAAGATATATAAACAAATATGTGTTGTGTGTGTGTGTATACACACACACACACATATATACAGACATACATACAGGGTAAATAGGAAAAACTAACAGGGAAGGCACTAGAATTAAGAGGGGTTGGGGAAAGTCCTGTAGAAGATGGGATGTTAATTATAACTTAAAGGAAGCCAGGGAAGTATTAAACTTATATCCCAGTTGCCTTAGCTTCTAAGTTCATAAAGGAAAACTATAAGGTATAGCCAGTAATATAGTAGTGGCAGATTTCAGTATACCTCTTTCAGTTTTAGATTAAGCTATTGGGAAGGTAATTAAAAATATATATAAAATTGAACAAATTGCTAGAGAAACTAGAGCATGAAATTTGTGTTGTCTTCTGAATGGAACTGGTAAATAATATGTATATTTCTCAGAACCCCATGGAATTTTTACTAAAATTCACCATGTATTAGGGCACATAGGTAATTGCAAACAAATGTAAAAACTCAGAAATAGTAAACACATCCTTTATAGACCATACCCAATAAAAATGATAATCAGTTGAGGGAGCACAAATGAAAGACTGGCCCAAATGGAAACTTAACAATTAAATCCTAAAATTCAAGGGTGGGGAACCTGTGGCCTCAAGGCCACATGTGGCCTTACAGCTTGCCAGATGTGGCCTTTTGACTGAGTCCAAGCTTTGCAGATCAAATCTTTTTATTAAGGGGATTTGTTCTGTGAAGTTTGGATTCAAAGAGCAGCACTTGAGGACCTAGAGGGGCACATGTGGCCTCAAGACTGCAGGTTCCCCACACCTGTACCTAAGCTATGTGAAAGAAAATGGTAACAATGTCATCAAAATATCTGGGATTCAACTAAATGTACATTGACAACATAGAAAAAGAGAATTACAAACCAAATATGCATTTTTAAAATTAGAAAGCCAACGAATAAACCTAAATACAAAAGATAAAACTAAAAATTAGAGCAGACAGATAAAACTAGAAGAAAAAAAAACACTAAATGATCAATAAAATAAAAGCTAATTCTTTGAAAAGACTAGAAGAGTTGCTGAACCTTTAATCGATGTGATTAAAAAGAAGATGGCAGAAAATCAAATCAACGAAATAGCAACTGAAAAGGTGAATCTCACAGAGTTCATACCATGAGAATCAGTTGAAGAAATGAAGGATACTTTTAACCTGGAGAAGACTTAAGGGAAAGATAATTTCTGTCTTCAAGTATTTGGAGGACTGTGATATGGAAAAGGAATTATACTTGTTTTGTTTAGCCCCAGAGGGAAGAAGAAGGGGCAGCAGGTGGACGTTGCAATGGCAAATCTAGGCCCAATATCAGGAGAAACTTCCTAATAATTAGAACTACCCAAAAGTAGGACAGGCTGCCTCAGGAAGGAATGGGTTTCCAATCCCTAGAGGTCTCTAGAAGGAGGATGGATGATGTGACAGGTGTGTTGTTGTGGATTTTCTGCTTCAGATAGGTGTTATGCTGGAGGGATACTGATTTGGGGATTTCATGCTATTCAAATCCCTGCACAACAAACTCTAAAGACCAATTTAAGTTATCACTGTATCAGAATTTTGTTACACCGAACATTGTTTGAAGTAAGTATACTGATAACTAACACTTAGAAACCTCTTTGTTGTAGGAATTTGGTGAACAAAATCTGCCTGTTATCTTGTTTCAAATCCATGAAGTCATTTTTAATAAACTTCCAATTTAAGGCATGTCAGCAGGGCACGCCTACATCTGTTAACAGAGCTTTGGGTTCCAACAGGTTGGCAGCAGCTATGATGAGCATAATTTGTACTTTCTCTGTGACGCTGCCATCCCACTCGTGCAGGCCCTCAGCAGCTAACACCTAGACTATTGCAGGTGCCTTCTGGTGGATCTTCCTGCCTCCAGTCTCCATTCCATCCTCCACTTAGCTGTCAGAGTGGTCTTCCTAAAGTACAGTACCAAATATGAAATCCTCTGTTTGACTTTTCCAACCCTTCCTAACCTTTCTGTTCTCCTAATGTTTCTTTGTACATGTTCAGTATCATTGACACCGGCTTCCTTTTTGTTCCTCACGTAAGACATTCCATTTCCTAACTCCCCGTGTTTGCTGGGTATCTCTCATGCCTGGACTGCTCTCTCCTCATCTCTGCCTCCTGGCTTGCCTGACTTCCTTCAGGTAGCTGTCAAAATCCCACCTTCTACAGGAAGCCTTTCCTGATCCCCCTTAATGCTACAGCCTTCTGTCTGAGAATTATCTCCTCATTTATCCTTTCTCATTTATACATGGCAGCCAGGTGGCGCAGTGGATAGAGTGTCAGGCCTGGAGTCAGGAAGGCTCATCTTTCTGCATTCAAATTTGGCCTCAGACACTTAATAGCATTGTAACCCTGGGCAAATCACTTTACCCTCCTTGCCTCAGTTTCCTCATCTGCCAAATGAGCTGGAGAAGGAAATGGCAAACCACTCCAGTGTCTTTGCCAAGAAAATCTCTAAATGGGGTCACGAAGAGCCCGACACAGCTGAAATGACTGGAATATATGCATAGTTATTATTAGTGTGGTGTCTTCCTGGTTAGACTGTGAGCTCCTTGTGACCCTCACAGGTGGAAGGGAGTAAGTGTTTATTAAGCACCTGCTTTGTGCCAGGAACTGTGTAAAAATTTTACACATATCCTCATTCCATCTTCTCCACAATTTAGCATTGTGGCTGACACATGGTAAGCTCTTGGTAAATACTTGTTGAGTTGTGCTTGATAATAATTACAACAGACATTTTTATAGAGCATTAAAGTGTGCACTGCACTTATTTGAGCTTTATAATAATATTGTGAAGTAGGTGTTGTAGTTGTGTTTATCCCATTTTACAGTGGAGGAAACAGATTCCTAGAAGTTGTGACTTGCTCAGGGTCACGTAGTCAGGATCAGAGGCAGGATGCCTTTAATGTAACATAATGAAGTTGGCTAGTACCTTTTCAAGAGCACCTAACAATTGAAGTTCACTTTTCCTCTAGAAACAGTGGTATAACCCATGGAAAACAAATCCAAATATAAGGTTAGCCCCATGTGAGAGCTATATCCCCAAAATAGGAACCTGCTATTGAATGACTTTTCCTATGCCTTTGTTCACATTAAATTTAAAGAAATAAAGGCCAAGAAAATGCAAAATAGCATTAGTGCCTCACAGTAGTTTGACCTCTTTTGCAGTCATATCACCACCCTGAAAATTGATCAAAAACCCCTGCTAACAGCTGATTCTGCAGGTGCATCGACATTCTGGAGCCATGGGCTTGCTGAGATGGCTGGCCAGAGGAATAAGTGAGTACTTCAGCTTGAACCAGAGCCTTCCTTGGTGGTTACCCAGAAAGAATAGCTTTTCTGTGCCATTTAAGCATCGTTTTTATTTTATTTTATTTTTCCCCAGTTACATGTAAAAACAATTTTTAACATTTTTTTAAAGTTTTGAGTTCCAAATTCTGTTCCATCCTTCCTTCACTGCCTGAGACAGTAAACAATCTGATATAGGTTCTATATGTGCAATCATAAGCATCATTTTTTAACAGAGCCTGCAATTACCCACTAAATTAATAAAATTAATTCCCCTTTTCCTCATGCTATGATTATTTTTGAAACTCGGCATCAGTGCCCTTCTCTAGACAATTTTTATTTGTAGATTTATCATCCTTCTACCTTTTATCTCCCTGAATATTTACCCTTCCTCCCTCCCAAATGACTACTGACTTGAATTTTTAAAGACTGGACACTCAGAAAATAGTAACAATGGTTGGTTGTCTGCCTTCTCTGTCCACCACTGTTGTAGACTCTGTGTGTCTGCTTTGGCCGTGGATAACTTTGCTGAAGGTGTGGAAGCTGTCTATGGCATGTTTGATGGAGACCGGAACGAAGAGCTCCCCCGCCTCTTACAGTGTACCATGGCTGACGTGCTTCTGGAAGAGGTGCAGCAGTCAGCAATTGATACAGTTTTCATGGCTAACACATTTTTGGTATCTCACAGGTAAGCAAATTACAAACTCAACTTCTTAGTCAGATCTTTGAGAAACAGGTCTCTCAGAGTCCGGATACTGACTAGACTGAGGGGAGAATCAGTAGTAGCTAAATCTCTCTCTTTTCTTCTCCCTCACTCCCCTGTTGTAGCCCATGGGAACTTTGATTCATTGTGTATGTGAATGAGTTGTCAGATGTGCAAGCTGATCATACACTAGTTGCTTGTGTTGTCGTCTTGATTTGTCAGTGTATTGGTTCCATTTGTATTTTTCCATCTAGGATCCCCAGGAAGAAGGCAAGGCATTGTAGCAGAGTGCTGTACCAGGTGTCAAAAGACTTGAGTTCTAGCCCTGACCCTTTCATTTCCCTAGCTGAGTGACTATTATAAAGGCCTATCTCAGATGGAAAATTAGGGTGTGTAACTAGACCGTCCAGTCTTCCAGTTGTATGAAATCTATGATTAGAGGTTTCTGTAGCACAGTGGCTGTGTATAATTGAAGTATTTAAGGCCTGTGGGACATTCAAGAATGTTGGGGACATGTATTGTCATCTTTGTTGCACTTTTTTCTGTAATACTTTTCAAGAACAGTATTTTATTGATGGCTTACTTAGATTGGATAACTGTGTCAAAATAAAATTTATCAATAAAAAATGTACTCCCCACCCCCTTCCAGACTTCTTAGACTTCTCCCATCCCTACCCTACCTTCATATAGTCTTTGATCTGGTGACACTGGCCCTCTGGTTTCTTTCATGACCCAACTAAAATCTCACTTTCTATAATAAGCCTTTCCAGACTCTCTTTAATTGCAATACCTTCCCTATGTTTATTCTCTCTCATTTATCCTTACATATAGCTTGTTTGTACATAATTATCTGCATGTTGTCTCCCCCGTTAGATTTCAAGCTCTTCAAGGGCAGGGACCTTCTTTTGCCTCCCGGAGCTTAGCACCAGTGCCTGGTACATAGTAGGTGCTTAATAAATGCTTCTTAACTGACTTTGAGTCAGACCATCCCCACCAAAGAAGAGATATCCCTCTTTCCCCATTCTTGTTCTTAGGCATTCAACTTGGAGGACTTTGTGATAATCATAATAATGATGGCCAATGTCTCTGTAACACTTTAAAGTTTCCCAAGGTCATTCCTCACAGTAATCCTCTAAGTAAGGGAGGAGGAGACAGAGACTGGTTCTTCCTGGCTACTCCCCATTACCACCTTTAGCCAGTGTCTTTCAAGGGTAAGGGCCAAGTCTGGATCATGAGCACGTCATAGAGGAGCAAGGAGATTACTTGTCTTCCTATTGCCGGATATTTTGAGACTTGAAGCAATGACAGGAAATAATTTGCCAGGCTAATTTTAAAGTACACCATTTTATTCTACTTCTTTCCCAAAACAGAAAATTGGGAATGGCCGGCCAGAAGCTAGGTTCCTCTGCCCTCCTCTGTTATGTCCGACACGATACTGCTGACCCTACAAGTAGCTTCACCCTGACAGTGGCCAACGTGGGCACATGCCAAGCAGTCCTGTGCCGGAACGGACAGCCCTTGCCGCTCTCCAGAGTCTTCAGCTTGGAGCATTGCCCGGAGGAGCTGCAGCGGGTGAAAGAACAAAAAGCCATCGTAACGGAGGTTGGCGCTGCTTTTTCTAGCCCCTCTTAACAGGGGCTCGTCCCCATGACAGCCAGAGTCTAGTTACCTGTGCTTTATCAGCTGCTGTGTGGTTAGAGCTCTCTGAAAGGGACTGGAGGTTCTTACCTTTAACAATTTCTGAGCCAAGTCTGTTCTTGGCATTAGTTTCATATCCAAGAAAGTGTTCAATTCAAAAGGCTTTCAGTGACACCGCTGGACAGGAGCCTTTACTGGACAAATAGTGAACAGCAAGGAAGAGCTAGATTCACTTGAAGTAAAAGATTCAGTTTTGCTTCTACACCTTATGACATTTCGTTCCACGTATTTGTTCATGTTCAAAAAACAAAAACAAGCTAACACGTAAGCTTCTCCCCCGTGGTTGATTTGATGACCAGTTTCATTAGTGTGCTCTTCCTGACAAGATGCTTGAAAAGGCACCGAGCCTTATCCTTTAATGTTCCCTGCTCTGAAATTCAAGCTATGACTTTTTTTCTTATTTTGTACTATTTATCTAGTAAATTGTTTTTTGAAACAACTCGAGGCGTTAGTTGCCAGCATCCTTAATATTTTTGTCTTCTTTTTTTAAGAGTTAGCGTAATATTTTTGTTTCTGTTCCTCAAAGAGACTAGTTTGTAGATAACTAGAATCCAGTAGTATAGACATATACAGGAAGCATGACTGTTAGTATTTACTACTACTTGTATACATTTATTTACACTGTAGGAAACACCTTATGTAATCCTTACATGCAGTTAGATTTTTTTCCAAAAATACTTTTGCCGGCAAAGTAAGAGTCATGAAAATACCATAGTGATTACCCTGGGACAGTGAATCATTTGAATCACAGAGTTAGAGTTGGAAGTGACTTCAGAAGTCCAGCTAGTCCAGGCTTCTCGTTTTATAGATGAGGAAATTGAGGCCTGAAAAAGTAAAGTGATTTTTTCCAGCACAGAAATAGTAACAAAAGAGCCAAGATTCAAACTTAGGTCCTCTGACTCCCATAATTAGCTCTCTTATGCACCGCATTATGATCCATGGACACATGTAAACAGATTCCACACCCCCCCCCCAGCACCAGGAGGGCATCAAGAGGGCCTGAGACATGAGTCCTGGTCCGGAGGACTGCCTGCATTGGAGTTCAAGACCTGGGCTTCTTTCTTTGTTGACTGTATGATGTGAAGGCAGTTAAAGAGACAGCACAGTGAAGTGGAGGGAGTTCTGGGTTTAGAGCCAAAGCACTTGCCTGTCCTGCTCAGAAACCTTACTTTTCTCATTTATGAAACCAAGGGATGAGGCTACAGTGACTTCAAGTCCCTTTAGGTCCCTCTGAGCCCAGAATCCATACAGATAAGTAAAAAGAGGGGGTTTTAAATCTCTAGAATTTAGATGGCATAAATTTATTTGTTTTAGGTTGTAGATAGCTTTTGAAGCTGATTTGAAGAACTGGTGGACAAAATTTGATAAGTTTACATATAGAGTAAAATTCCCTTCTAAGTTTGCATTGATTGCTTGTTTCCTCATAGGGAAAGTATTTTGACCTTTAATAAAGTTAATAAAAACTTCACCTAAAGCAGAACAGTTAATTCCGTATTTTAAAGCATGTTATGTGGACTTCAGAATTTCTTTAAGATTGAATTCTGGAATAAATCATTTATGATTTCTTACTTTGTTTAGAGTTTTGTGGGTTCTAATTTGACCTTTCCATAGTTCATTTTTTGTGCTGGAATCACTCTCTCTTTGGATTCCTTCATCTACTTCCTTCCAATTTCTTTTTGTAGACTCTTTCCCTGCAAAGGTTTTCCTAAGCAATCAGGTATCTCCTTAGATCTTTTTTAGTTAGTCCCAACTTCCTCTCTAATGAAAGGCCATTTGCAGTGATCCATTGGATTCTGAACCTCTCTTAAAATACTAGTGATAAGGAAAAATGGCGTGACTTTTGCTAGTGGTTTTTTCTAACCCAGAGGTTTCTTTAGGTAGAAAAGTAGTGATGTCTTCTTTCACATAAAGGTTGCTGAGTATTTTGGAGATGTTAGGGCCAAGCAACTTTAGTTACCGCATTTGACTTATAAAAACAAAATATTTTTGACCATAATCTTATATGTTTAGCTCTGGCACAGGTAAGCACTTTTGAGTCCTTGGAAAGCATTTATGATACATTTGTTTTCCTCTATGACACGTTCTTAAGCAGTAGGACATAGATAAATGCCAGGACCCCTAAGGTTTATTGCTTATTGTTTAAACTAATTGTGTTTATCTTTAGGACAACAAAGTGAACGGAGTGACCTGCTGTACCCGGATGTTGGGCTGTACGTACCTCTACCCTTGGATCCTTCCAAAACCCCATATATATTCCCTGCCACTTACAGTACAGGATGAGTTGTTGATCTTGGGAAACAAAGCACTGTGGGAACGCCTGTCTTACCTGGAGGCTGTCACTGCAGTCCGGCATGTCCATGATCCATTAGCAGCTGCCAAGAAGTTATGCACATTAGCGCAGAGCTATGGTTGTCAGGACAACGTTGGGGCAATGGTGATCTGTTTGAATGTTGGGGAGGATGGTTGTACTTGTGAGGCGAATGGCCTCAACCTCCCAGGTCCTGGGGGATTCGCCTCAGCTACCACCGTCAAAGACGCTCCGAAGCCAACCACCCCTTCCTCCAGTAGCGGCATCGCCTCCGAGTTCAGCAGTGAAATGTCCACCTCTGAAGTGAGCAGTGAAGTGGGCTCCACAGCTTCTGATGAGCACAGCGCCACTGGCCTGGACGCCAGCCTGGTGCCAAGGCCAGAGAGGCGCTGCAGCCTCCATCCCATGCCCACCTTAGGGATATTTCAGCGCCAACCGTCTTGTGCCACTTTCTCCAGTAACCAGTCTGACAATGGCCTGGACAGTGATGATGACCAGCCAGTTGAAGGGGTCATAACGAATGGCAGCAAGGTAGAGGTGGAAGTCGATATCCATTGCTGTAGAGGAAAGGGTCTGGAGGCATCTCCTCCTGCCCTTGAAGAGACTTCTCTGATTGTCGGTCCCGAGGAAGACTCGGGAGGATTGTTCTTCAGGTTCCGGAGACAGAACAGTGTGAGCTGTGCAGCGCTCCTTCCAGTAAGCAGGGAGTTACAGAAATCTCCATCCGCTTCTTGCCTGTATGGGAAAAAACTCTCCAACGGCTCTGTTGTGCCACTGGAAGACAGCTTGAACCTCATCGAGGTGGCCACAGAAGCACCCAAGAAAAAGACGGGCTACTTCTGTGCCCCAGCTCAGCTGGAGCCAGAGGATCAGCTCGTTATACCTCGTGACCTGGAAGAGGAGGTGAAGGAGCAGCTGAAGCACCCCCAGGATGCCCGGGGCACGGCCGACTCGGAGCCCTGGGGGGAGACTCAGGCGGACCGCTCGGAAGAGCTCGACACTGCCCTGTGACCCTCGGCAAGGAGCTCTGGGTCTGAGAAGGCCGCGGGTTCTTGTGGCCCGTGGTCCTTGCCACCACATTCGGCTCCTGCGTTGGCCGCCACCCTGTGGAGGAGCGGCATGGAGGCACGCACTCGGAGGTGAGAGGCAGGAGCGGCCGGCTTTACTGAGAATGAAGGTGGGGAGAAGGTCCGCGCGGTCCTGCCACCTGCCGCTGGCCCCTTCTGTCCCAGGTTAATTTGGAGGGTTGCCTGCCTGGGCGGCAAGGGGACTTGCTTCTGTGGCAGAGTGACCGAAGACTGAACCTCTTCACGGTCACTGCTGAAGGGTCTCTGGCTGCATCGTCATCTTGTCAAGTGTCAGAGTGCTGTGGGCACGTGGCTTTCTTACTCTTCTCTGAGAGAACATAGCCTGTGGAAATGAAGCTCACTGGAAGTGCGGAGCCAATCAGACAATTGATTTATGTGTGTACTGTAGTGGAAGCACTTTTCAATGACTGACATTCATTTTTGAATCTGCACTCAGAGCCAGTCTTAGAGACGGTCCACACCTTGGTCCCTCCGGTTAGGGAGAGCCAGGTGTTGGTGCCTCTCACAGGGGTCCCAGGAAGGCTTAGAGGGAACAGAGACGGGGGAGGATTCAGATTTCTCTTGATAGGGATGTGAATTTTTAAAAGGTAAAAATGGGAATGAAGAGAAGAGCTGCAGAGTCTCCTGGTCATGGTGAGGGGATCCAGTTCAGGTCTCCTGACAGGAAGGAGAAGGAGCTGAGAATTTCCCTGCATATGAGAAGGGAGTGATCTGGGGACTGGCCAGATTCCATGAAATGTGGTGAGGAGTTGGCAGTTTGCTTCTCCTGCTCGGTAGGACCAGAGGCTGACTCCTATCCAGGTGACCTTGAGCTTCTGTGTGTTTCAGGAGAAGCTGAGAATGGATGGATGAACCTCACATAGTAGAAATCCTTCTCTCCCTCTAGTGGAGGAAGATCATTTTTCCTGAAAACCAGAGGAATAAATTTTAACACTAAAATCTGTTTTTTATAGGCCTTCCAATCTTATTGTTGCAGGGACTGACTATGTTACCCTTTAAAAATCAGTCTTATTATACCATATATGCTCTCAGTGAGTGTTGGGCTCATTTACTGCTATATGATTCTTATCAGATTAGAAACATTTCCATGCAAACAGAAACCTTCTTTTTCTGTACTTTTTGAACATCACTTCTCATTCCACATGGCCCTGTCAAAATACATTTCCTTGTACGTTTTGTTCAGTTGCCTTTATAATTTGAAGACTTATGTAGACAGGAAAGCTAATTTCTAGTTTTTCTTCCAAAACTTTGACATTGCCTCAGCTAATCGATTTGGGGGTGTGATTTGGATTTGTTGAGTGTTTGCGCAGTCCAAGAAGAAAACAGGGTGGAACCCTTTGACATATGCTTTATTAGTAGGAACATAAAGATTGAATATTGGTTTGCCAAATAATTTTCAAAAGCAGCTTAATTTATACTTTGTTGGGGAGCTTGTTGTTTGAAGCAATAATAGCAAACTAGTTGACCAGATCACTGATGAGTCCACGATATTGATGTCTAAGAGGTATCACCTTTACACATGAATGTGTGGCGCTTGTGTTTGCTTTTAAAGGGGGAGCCTGCTAACTGCTTAATGACCATCTAATGTTGATCTTTTCAGGAGTCCTAATTTGAGTTTTTGTACTGTTAGGAAAATTTTGATTTATCTGTTAAACTGTTGCTCTGCTACTGAAGAATTTGCAGCTTCAAATCTTTGATCTGATTAATTCCTCCTTAGGAAGGGACTACAGGGGCACATTCAGGGTTTGAGGTTCTCTAAAACAGGGGTGAACTATTTCGTGGCAGTAGCATTGTCTCTTTGGGGAAATGAGAAAGCCGATAGGAAAGAGGCTAAGATGATAATGCTGAGCGTTGTCCTTCCAGAACTGCAGAATAGTTGTAGAAGTAACATCCTTTAATAAAGAAGGCTGATTTGTAAAGATGCAACGTGGAAATCACCGCCTCTCTCAGAATTGTCCTTAACTTGTAATAATTTATTTCATTTTGTTCCTCAGCTTGCTTGTTTCAATAACCACTAGTTTTGTATAATCTGATATATTGGGCCTTTGCTTTTGACTTGTAAGCTCAGAATTTGGAAGTTACAAATGTTCCTATACTGAAGCTAAAATTATTATTTTTCTTTTTTTAGTAAATTTCAGATTGGATTAAAAAACTGAACCTAAATTTGGGGGTATAGGGAAAAATGAGTCTCTTATCCAACCACTCTGGAGGAGATAAGTAAAAGATGGCTTTCTAAAAAAAAAGCAGCTTCCCCCCTACCAGAACAGGAGAGTAGACCTGTTGCCCTAAAAGGTGTTGTTTAGGAAATTGCATTATCTGATCAGGTTCTCAGTGGTTCATGATATCTAGCCCCATATCCCGAGCACCATCTATTCTCTTATGCTTGAGAGACTAAATGTACCCCTAGATTCCCCTTGTACAATGTCCTTCTCGTGGTTCTGTGTTCTTTGTAAACTATGTACTTGCCGTATCTATGTAACAGACCAGATTAACAGAGATTCTGAAAGCATAAAACGACTAGTTCTGAGCAGCAGTGTGTGACCCCTGTGAGTTGAAAATGTACAAATCTTAGGAGTCATGGTATTTAATCAAAATGGATTTGGGAAGTACATTTTATTTTAAACTTTGAAGATTAATACATCAAGGCACAGTGCTATCCTGTTCACTGACTTACCACTCCAGACAAATGAGGGTTTATTATACTACTGTCAAGCATACATGTGCAATAAGATGATGTGTTCCCTGTGTATAAAAAATAGAGCAGATGTGAGCAGCTTGATTATTATTGGGTACGATGATAATAGTTCGTTTGCATTTGCTGCTGTTTTCCAGGAGACGGGTCTAATTAGTATTAGCCAATCTACTGAGTGTTGAATGATTATCTTATTTTTATATATAACTTCCAACAAAATCAAGTACTTATAAGCCACTGGCTTACCATCTTTTTCTGTTGACTAATTATCCCGTGAAAAACCTCCATGAGGAAGCAAGTGACAAATACATGTAACAGTGATTCAGCAGCCTCCAAGCCATTCGGGGCTGCCTGAAGCAGGCCAGACAGTGTGTGACTCGTCTCACATTTCACCTCATTCTGGGTGAAGCCATTCAGGTTCCCTAAAACACAGAGGTGACATTTTATTTCCAGTTAGTGACTGTCCTATAATTGAGAAAATACTTTCTGGCTTAGGAAAAGAGCCTGCATATAGTAAGTCTTGCTGTGATCATTCCACCACACATAAGCTCCTTGTGCTCTCGACTCTATGCCCTTCTCCTGGATTTTGTAGGATTTCCCTCACTTTGGCCCATGGATGTCGTCCAGGCAGTGAGTCCACATCTTACAGTTTTGTGCAATCGTTGTCCTATTATAGTCTTAAGACTCATTATAGTGTATTTTTGATATTTTTGAAATGTGTTAAATTTTTTAATTCAATAACATGAGCCAGAGCATGTTTCAGCAAATCTATTGTTTGTAAAAATGATGATGATGATGATGATGATGATAATAAACAAATAAATATAATATATTTTGGTGCTTTTGTTTTAAAGTGGAATGCGTATTATTTTTAAAATATTTGTGTGTGATGTCCTTTCGGTTCATTATATAGAGAGATTGATTTGGAATTGAAAGCATCCTGAAGATTTTCCCTTGTTTCCTGCCTTAGGGAGATGAACAAGACCTCAGGGTGGGGGAAAACACATACCCCACATAAATCTTACTAAGATTTACATACAAGTTGAGACAGGAATATTTTTAGCTAGCTTTTCACGTGATAAGGCAGAAAGCTCTCTACTTTCATTAATACTATACTTTGTGTATACTTGACATCTCAAGGACATAGTCATTTTCTTAAGCGCATTAGAAGACCAAATACTGAAGTCTTCTAGTCAATAGAATCTTTAGTAAAAAATTAAATTTCTTTTTTTTTTCATCAGTAAAAGCCTGTCTTTTCTTCCTACTCCCTCCCTGAAATGAGAAAGAAAGAAAAGCAACACTGTTGCTACAAATATGTAGTAGTTAGCAAGACAGATTTCTGCCTTGGCCACATCCAAATGTCTCATTCTGTACTCTTTACCTCTCTATCAGGAGGTTGGTAGCATATTTCATCATTAGTCCTTTGGAAATGTGGTTGGTCCTTACTGCTAAAAGTTCCTAATTCTCTCAGAGTTGTTTGCCCTTACAATATTGTTGTCATTTGTATAATATTTTTCTCCTGGTTCTTCTCGCTTCACTCTGTATCATTTCATATAAGTCTTCCCAAGTTTCTCTTAAACACCTTCCTTCATCATTTCTTATCACACAGTAGTAGTCTGTCACATCTGTGTATCATCAGTTTTTCAGTCATTCCCCAGTAAGTTCTCGTTGCTGGGCATGCACCCAAGGGCAATCAGAGTGAAAAGAAAGGAAGCAACCAAACACTAATTAAATGACCAGGCTTGGCTGTGGAGAAGAAATAAAAAAAAATTGTCTTTTGGATTGTGGATGTGGAATATGAACTACATCAGATATGGTGGCTATGTTTTGTTATACTCAATTGTTGTCCTTTGTTACCAAGGAAAGCTCACTGTGGGAAGTGATGTCTGTGACATAAAAACTAAAGGAATCAATAAAATTTAAAAAACTAAAATATTATGGAGAACAAGTCAAATGCTGTAGGACTGGAAAAGGACAAGTGTTCTGATTCTTCCCCCCCCACCAAAAAAAAAAAAAAGAAAAGTAAAAGTATGGAAACCTGGCAGAGTTCTTGAATGTATTACTAAAGGTAATGACAAAGAGCTAGTTAGCATAACTCCATCTCCAAGATGAGGTTGTGCTAGGCTAATCTCCATACCTTTCTGATAGTTAATTAGAATGGTAGAGCAGGGGAAAAGCTATGGTTATAATTTACTTAGCTTTTTGCAAAGTATTTAACAAAGGATATTATTATAGATAAGATGGAGAGAGGGCTTAAACTACAGTATAGTTAGAATTCTAAAACTGGGCATAGTGTCTTGAGGTCCAGTTAAGAGAGTGTCAGCAGGAGGCATGGCAAGGTGATGGCCAGGGTAAATCATGGTTGGGAATGTGGCACCTGCTTGATATAATGGACTTTTTAACTAATATCTTTTTTTAAACATTCATTTAAAAAATGTTTTCAGTTGCAAATTTTCTACTGTCTAGCCCCTTCCCTACCCATTGAGCACCATACCATATACATATGTATGTATGTAGACATGCAAAGCATATTTCCACGTTAGCCATGTTGCCAAGAAAAAAAGGGAATGAAATACGCCTCCATCTTCACTCAAAGTTCATCAGTTATCTCCCTTAAGGTGGATAGCATTCCGAGTACTTTGGATTTTCACGGACCATTTTATCGATTAGGGTAGCTCAATCTTTCGCAGTTGATATTTTATTGCAATTTGCTGTCACTGTGTACGTTGTTCTTAATTCTGTTCACTTCACTTTTCATCACTTCATTTAAGTCTCAGATTTTATGCAATCAGATGAAATTTCATAGGAATAAATACATAAAATCTTAATCTTGAGATCAAAGATTCAACTTCAAGTATGCACTTAGGGGAGGTGTGTAGATAGCTCCTCTGAGAAAGATTTACCCATTTTTAGTGGGCTACAAACTCAGTATGAGTTAACTGTAATGGTGGCTGAAGAAGCAAATTCAAGCTGTTATCAAGAGGCATGACGTCCTCTGGCCTTATCAGAGCCCATGGAGTGTTCGGTTCTGGGTGCACCACGTTTTAAGGACGTTGATAGACATGAGTTATCCTGAAGAAGGTGTTCAGAATGTTGAAGAGTCCTCAGGTCATCTCATCTGAAAATCACTTGAAGGAAACTGGGGACGTTTAACCTGAAGAAACTGAGAAGGGATGTAGGGGCAGAAAGAAGCTGATAAATGACCCCCCAAAAAACAACCAAAACCCACCTTAACAGAGAACAGAGAATCTCTATGTGGAAGAGGCATGTACAGAAAGCAGGAGGTCTCCCTTTACTCCCCATTATCAAGGAAGGCCATATGACCATGTCTTCTAAGTCATAGGATGATTTTTGTTCAGGCATGAGTTAGACTATCAATGGCTTCTGAAATACCTTCCAGCTCAAAATTCACTGCAGACCTCCAGTTTTGAATCTCCAACTGCTATCAAGACATCTTGAACTAGATCTCACTAGACATCTTAAATTTGTCATACTCAAAACAACCCGTCTTTCCCCTAAACTCTCCACCTTTCCAAACTTAACACTATCCTCCCAGTCCCCCAGACTCACAACCTAGGAGTCACCCTAGACTCATCTCTCACCACCCACATCCAAGCTATTGCCAAGGCCTGTCAGTTTTACCTCTGCCCCACCTCTTGAATACACCTCCTTTCCTGACACTGCCACCCCACATGGGTAGGTCCTCATCACCTTATATCTGGACTGCTGGACTACAGCCTGCCTCAAGTCTCTCCACTCCAGACCACCCTTCATTTAGCTGCTAGTGATTTTCCTAAAGGAAAGATCTGACCATCTCCAAGTCCCTCATAACATACTCACTCCCCCTACCTTTCCAGTCTTCCATCCTACTCTTTAATGACACTGGCCCTGGCTATCCATGAAAAAGAATCCATTGCTCAGCTCTGGGCATTTTCTCTGGTTGTGCCCCATGCCTGGAATGTTCTCCCTCCCCCTCAGCCAGGAGATGTCTTGGCTTCCTTCAAGTCCTAGCAAAAACCCCACTTTCTATAGGAAAATTTTCCTAATCCTTAATTCTGGTGCCTTCCCTATTTTCCATTGTTTATATAGTTTGTACCCATGTTTGCTTCTTGTCCCCCCCCATTAGATGGTGAGCTCAAGGTGGAGACTGCCTTGCTTTTCTTTGAATCCCCAGTGCTCAGCAAAGTACCTGGCCAAAAGTAGGTGCTTAATAAATGCTTATTGACTGTGATTCTATGAATGAAGGCTTCATTTCAAGATTCAGTGTTAGTGAAGGGAAATAGTCGTTAATGTAATGTGAGGTGATAATGTTAATCCTTCAGTGGATGAAAAGAGATTTTTCATCAGGAAGGTTTAGTTAGGATTGTAGAATATTTCCAAGAGAACTTTTACCAGTTTTGGGAAAGCTTATTCTGTTGAAAGTTCCCCACTTAAGAAGAATAAAAAGGTGGGAGCTCTTTATACATGTTACGCATAATAGCCCTTTTCCTCTAATGTAGGAAACCTAATTCATGGCAAAGTGGACAGAGCATGGGATTTGGAGTCAGGAATGCAAGCTGAAATCCAGCTTCCGTTAACTTACAGCCAGTGTAACTAACTTTAAGTCAATTTATTTCTCTAGGTCTTTGCTGCCTAACCTATGAAATGGAAGGATTGGAATATTGTTCAGTCATGTCCGACTCTTTGTGGCCCCATTTGGAGTTTTGTTGGCAAAGATGGAGTGGTTTGCCACTACCTACTCCAGCTCTTTTCACAGATGAGGAAACTGAGGCAAACAGGGTTGAGTGACTTGCCCAGAGTCTACATGTAGTGAGGTCAGATTTGAACTCAGGAAGATGAGTTTTCCTGACTCCAGGCCCAGAACTCTTATCCACTGCACCACCTACGGAACAGTGAGCCAGGCTACGAATCAGAATGGAATTGCCCTTTGGGGAACGAATCAGAAAACTGACTTAATGGGCCATCTTCTAAGGTCCTTTAGTATCTTAAATAGTTGGATTAAGGATTTGCAGTTGTCTTTATGTAGCGCAGGACTCGGCTCTCGCTGAGATAGTTGGTCTTCTAAGGCTTGACTGGGTTGGTCATCATTAGAGTGGAAAGCTAGCATTGCCCACCCTACTATATTTATGTAACTGTGCCATGGCCAGCCTTCTGATATGTATTCTGAAAGCTTGTGACTTTCCCCAGCAATTATTCATGTGTCAATCAATCCATCAGTATTTATTGAGCACCCTTTACAACCAGTACCTTAAAATGGAACGTTTATACATAAGTAAGTATGTCAAAAATTGCAACTCTGTGTGATTTAAAATGGAAATAATTGGATGAAATTATAAAGGCAAGTGAGACCTGGGGGCTTGGATTGTGGGGAGGGGTGCAGAGTGCAGAGTGAGAGATTCTCACAGAGTTCCTGACCCCCAGTATCCTGGTGGACTGCTGTTCTCAGAAGGGTGCTGCTGCTGCTCCCTGTAACTCTGGATGGCCAACACAGCACTCACTCCATACGTGATCACCAGAAGACAAGCAAAGGTGGCCGCTGCCCCGTCAGTGCCTGCTAGCTGACAGTTCATCCAGTTGAGACCACTGCGAGCGTACAGCCTCTCCCGCTGTTTGCAGGTATCAGTGGCGTTGATGCGAACAGCCGCGTGAAGGTAGATGCCGGTGCCTATGCAGTAGCCCACTGCTGCCAGGAGGCTGAAGACGGCTTCCACAACCAGCCACTTCCTAGGCAGCTTCTCCAGGTTCTTGGCTCCTCGGACTAAAACTCCCATGGTAAGGACCCCAAGGCCTAGGGAGACGGCCAAGCCTCCGTACACAAGCGGCGCTCGCAGGATGGTATACTGCTGGTCCAACTGTCGAACCTGCTCCAGCTCCGTCCCTTCAAAGGGAGAGTAATAGCTGTTCCCAAAGCCACCGCTTCCAAAGCCGGCACTGAAACCAGCCAGGACGAAGTAGGAGGCCACAATGCACATGAGAACCATTCCGTTCAATATCACTTCCACTATCTGAACCACACCTGGGAGGAGAAAAATGAAGTCCTTAATAAACCGGTTAGTCACCAAGGAAAAGCTTTATTCTAGGGAATAATGGGAGTATTAGAATTGGGGGCAGGGGCATGGGAAGCCTGGCTCGCCTCCTGGTACCCTTGGCTGCTGGTGTTCATGTTTCTCACAACCCCTGTTAGGCAACAGGAGCTGGGGTAATTAATGTAATTAAAAATGGCTCAGGTGAGCCTTCAGTGGCTGCAGCTAGACAGAGGCCCTTTGACTTCTGAAGAGGTTTGCAGGGAAAGATTTTTCTCTTCAACAAGCATTTATAAAGCACCTACTATGTGCTCACCACTGTTCTAGATGCTGAAGATACAAATGACAACCCCTGTTCCCAAGAATTCCTTGTTCTAATGGGGGGAAACTAACAATAATAATGGAATTTATATAGAACTTTAAAGTCTGCAAAGCACTTTACATCTCATCCATCCTCCCAGCAACCTTGGGAAGTAGGTGCTATGATTATCCCCATTTTACAGATGAGGAAACTGAGGTTGAGAGGTTAAATGCCTTGCCCAGGGTCACACAGCTACCGAAGTGTCTGAGGTAGGTTTCAAACTCAGGTCTTTCTGACTCCAAGTCCAGTACTCTTATCTACTACTATGTCTAGGTGTCTATACAAAAATGATTTGCAAATAATTTCAAAGGTGGAGGACCACAGGAATCAAGAATGACATCTAGGAGGTGGAAGGGATAGTATCCAGCCATGGAATGTGTGAAAGAAAACCTGAAACAGATTAATCTGACTGGGACACAGAGTGTGGTCAGCACTCGGAGATACCTAGTACTTAGAAGGGTAGGTTTGGCCTCCAGCTCAATGTATACCCATCCGTCCTTCCATCCCCAAGAGCTTGGTTTGGGGGTCTGGGGGGACGCCAACCCACAAACACATTTTTATCCCAGACACTGAAAATTAGCTTGGGTTCTTACACCATCAAGCCCTACCAGTATGTCTTACCTGTTTATACAGTAGCTACCTCTCTAGTCTCCTTATACCCCATTCCAGGGACTATGAGCCATGTAGGCCTCCTTACTGTTTCTCACAAAAGACACCCCATCTGGGGCTAGGTGGTGCAGTGGATAGAGCACTGGCCCTGAAGTTGGAAGGGCCTGAGTTCAAATATGGCCTCAGACCAAATACTTGAAACTTACTAGCTTAACCCCAATTGCCTTTAAAAAAAAAAAAAAAAAAAGACACCGCATCACCTGCCTTGGCAAATTTTTTAGTAGGAAGACTTCTTTTTAATGTAAAAACACAGACTCAGCTTTGTGGTGCACTGTTATTATAGGGACCATGTAACTGTAAGGAGCTCTTACAGAGTCAAATCTTTTCATTTGGCAGATGATAAAACTGACCCGGAGACTTTAAGTGACATGTTTGACGTCACACAGTTAGTACAGGTGGCCAACCTGGAATTCAAACCCACATCTGCAGACTCAAGTCCAGTTCTCTTCCTGCTTATACCACCTTCATAACCACTGAATAAAAAAAATGATCTCAAAAAGCTATTATATATTCAGTAACACTTCTAAAGGAATTTATATTTTACTAATCAATAGCATCTACACATACTTATAGACCAGTAACATGCATGTGTGTGATGTAGTCAGTGTACAGAAGATAGATTTGCTTATTTTGCTGAATCATTCTTATTTGGTAGCAGAACAGAAATTTTGAAATGACAATTCCGGGGTTCAAATAGGGATCTGTGGATTCCTCTCTGTGGTACCCCCAGAGGTATGGATTCAAATCCAGAACCAAAAATGAATGACTATAAATTATCAGCCATGACAGAGAACTATTTTCCAGAAAGACACTATGGGATGTGGTCATCTAAAACCCATTGGCATTCACACACAGAATTTTCCTAACTCTGTTAACTGACACACAAATTCACTGTCCTGAACCACACATGGTAGCAACTTTGGAGCAATAAACATGCCACCTTGTCTGGAGGAACTGAATCCCATCTCTGATCCATTAACTGGATGACCTCAACAAGAAAGTCATTTAACTTCCCTAGGTCTCAGCTTTCATATTTATAAAACCTAGATGGCCACTGAAGTCCCATACAGCTTTGAATTTACTCTCCAAAGAGTCTTCCTTCTATGTTCTCATGTCTCCCTTTTCCTTGACTCACTAAATGGGGTAAGCAGAGGGAAGGGTGTACTGCTACAGAACAAAAACAACCTAAGCCTTTCTTTCTGAGCCACTGATTTCACCTATAAAGTAGCAGGACTCAACCCAACGTTCAAGTAGACCCAAAAATGAAGTGATTCCCCAACACCACCTCTCCTGTAGACTTCAGTGACATTATAGGTTAATGTAATGACAGTATAGGAGCTTGCCTCATTTGATACCTGAAGTCTACCTCTCGAGGTACTGGGTTCTTGTCAACACTCCTACCATTCCCAGTTAGCCGTCCTACCAAACCCCACCCTGCCTCACTTTCAAGATCAGATGAACCAACCTGAACATACCACTGGTTGACTGAAGGAAAGAGGACTTGCTTTAGTCGCTTTGGAGAGTGTAGGATCTAGAATAAACGGGTAAGTTGGGATTCTGTTGTTGGATTAATAGCCTGTCTTCTCCTTGATGCTTCTTCTGTAGCTCTTCATTTAATGGGGTGCCTTTCTTTGACATTTGTAGTTGTCTGTTGTTTTTTAGCTGTGTCTGATTCTCCATGACCCCATTTGGGGTCTTCTTGGCAAAGATAGTGGAGTAGTTTGCCATTTCCTTCTCCAGCTCATTTTACAGATGAGGAAACTGAGGCAAACAGGATTCAGTGACTTGCCCAGGGTCACAAGGCTAATCAGTATCTGAAGCTAGATTTGAACTTGGGAAAATGAGTCTTCCTGACTGCGGGCCTGGCACTCTATCCATTGTGCCACCGAGTGGCCCGTCCTTTTACATACCACGTTCCTAAAAAAGGTACATTAGTCCAGTTATATTTTTAACAGATATCCTGGCAGTATACTATTGAAGGAATTCTACTGAGTCTCTTTGTAAAGTGAAGAGTTTGCCAGTATGACCCCAATTTATGTTTTGTGCAAATCTGGATTTTTAATGATTGAATTTGCTTAGAACAAACTTGTACAAAGAAGGAAACTCAAGGTACAATGAGGTCACAGGCTCACTTTGGATCAAAGGATGCTTTGGTTTGGACTTTTCTTTCAGTGAAGCTATACTGAGTTGTTTCTGAATTTCTGCCAGCACCTTAAGCTTCTCACATAATGGCATACTCATGGGAGATACAGTGGTTAGTCTTCCTAACTGAAAGGCAATGTTGACTCAGGCTTCTGGGATTCATTTGTTGGCATTTCAATTTGTTTGTAATCCAAGGTGACTCTCTCCTTTTTCCACTCCCATTCTCCAATTTATGTATTCTACTACAAGTCATCTGTTTTACTAATTAAGGATGCAAGGAGATACTGGAGAGTTATGGCAGGGGTTGGGGGGAGGATTGGGGAATTCCTTGTTCCTCCACTTATAGGTTATATTTGTAAGAAAATAGGTACAACTGTCCCAATGTATCTGGCTTCTACTGAACACAAAGTTAGCTGAGTTCAGAGAAACTCCCCAAGTATGGCATATTGTTGTAGCCCAGACCTCTCTGCAGGGCTTGGTTTACAATGATTTCTAAGAAAATTTTCCCAAGGGAAGAGAATTCGAAGTTTGTTACTTTCTCCTCTGTGCACCAGTCTCACCGTGTATTTCCACCCATCCATAGATAGCTTGTTCCAAAATAAGGTGAAGTTTTTGAGATCTAGCAGAAGCTGATGAAAGACTATAATTCATGTGTTTCTGTCAGCTTCTCTTCAGACTTTCTGATTCTTCTGTATGCCCTGAAGGCTAGAACAGCCCCGACAGCAAAGACAACGATGCCAATAGCAGCAAAAAGTCCAGCCCCTATGTCTCCACCATGGTAGCTACAAGTAAAACCGCTATACCCTTTGCTCTGATACAAGGTCTCCCTCTCTTTACACACAGGAGAGTTGTAGGCAGCTGAGAGGTGGTGGAAATAGAAATACAAGGCAGGGATGTAGCTGCCAGCAATGAGCACATCCAAAATGGCTTCAATCACCAGCCACAGTGGGCAATGCCATGGGACCCGAAGGACACCCAGGAGAATAAGGAGGCAGGAGAAGGCCATGAGGCCCCCTCCATAGGCCATCGCTGCTGTCACCGTGGGCAGCTTAAGATGGTAGAACTGGATGTCCAACTGTTGGGCTTGCTCCCCATCGGGACCATCAAAACCACTGAAGGCTCCTCCATACTGGTAGTAGTAAATGCCCCCAAGACTGGTGATGCCCGTGTAGCCCCCCGTCGAGTTGTAAGACACAGAGCTAGAGGCCAGAATCAGCAAGTTCAGCAGGACCTTCATCAGTTGGCAGCAGGCTGCAAAGATCAAGAAGTGAAGGATGGGTTATGTTCTGGATGAGGCTTCTCTTCCAACATGGAGGTCACTCCCCCACTGCATGCAGCTCACACCACTGCCTTCGTATCCACCTCCCCCACAAAAGCCCAGGCAGCCAAAGGTTCCTCAGGAGCAGCTGATGGTGAAGACGCAAGGCATCGAGTCCACAAACAGTAAGATGTGATGCATTTTTAAGAAGTTGGTCTTAAAAGAAAGGTCTTTCCAAAGGACCAGAAAGACTTGGGGCCCATGAGAAGTTCAGGACTACCTCTCCCTATGAGATGAAAACCACACATCTATGTGGGAAAGCAGAAAGTGCTGGCGTTTTCAGGTGAGAAGGAAGAAAAAATCAATCTCCTATTTCTACATGTTATGTCTCCAGTGAAAATATATACTCAACTGTTGCCTGACCAGCTTAGCCACAGTTTGACAAACAAGATCTGCCCAAGCCTAGAGAAGAATCTTAATGTGAATTTAAAAAACAATATAACTTTTTTAAAAATGCTGTTAACAAGGAAAAAACCACGTTTTTAGTTAAAAGCGTGATATACTTTTATTTGCTATGTTTCTAGACAATGTTAAAATGTGTATTTTTGTTTTTCTGCCTAATCACAATTGTATATATACACACACAGACCAATATGTATATTTGTATGAATCGTGTACACATGTGTATGTATGTGTGCATATAGGTAGATAGTGTAACCTTACTTTTCTGGATCTCTGGTCCTCCCAATCAATCTTGTTTAAGAAAGGCTATTCTAGGTCCACTTTCAGAGCCAAATGTTCATTACTGTGCTGGGGAGGTCTTCATGTGCCACTTAACTAACTGAGTCTCTACATTCCTCTTCTGAGCCTCTCTAGAATCTCTCTAGATCCTTGCATACCTACACTTGTTTTTGGTTCTGATCCGGCCAGACCAGAAATTTTTATCATTCACATGTATTATAGCCCTTTAAGGCTTAGAAATCACTTTCCTCACAACAGTTCTGAGGTGTAGGTAGTAATAATAACTTGCAGTTACGTGACTATTTAAGGTTGGCCAAGAGCTTTTACATAGGTTCTCATATGATCTTCCCAACAACCCCAAAGTGGTACTATTATTATCCCCATTATCCAGAGGGGAAAAACTGTGACTTGTCCAGGGTCATCCAGCTCATAAGAATCAGAGATAGGATTTGAACTCAGGTTTTCCTGTCTCAAAGTCCAGAATATCATCAAGCCACCACTTCATCCTGATGCCTCCAATATTATCCTGATTTTACAGATAAGACCAGATTGCCAATAGTACCACAGTTGAAAGTTTTGAACCAATGTCTCCTGACTTGAATCTAGGGTTCCTTCGACTAGGCCATGGCTATCATATATTCTTTAGTTGTGACATACTTCATTCCCAGGTACAACATCTAATCACTAGCCTTACCCATCTGGTTTTTAAACCTATAAATTGTTCACCTTCAGAAACTTCAAGGCCAATTAACCACTTGGACAATGGCCCTCTCTGCATTGTAAGACTCGGGGAAAAGTGCTTGAATCGATGGCCCCAGACTAAGTTTTGAAGACAAGGATTCCATTGGCAGGTGCCTCTATTGGGGGGGTAGGGGTTCTTTAGTTCATAACATCTGTGGTGGGGGCAGTAAGAAACAAAGGGGACAAAATCTTCTGTTCTTACCACCAATACCATTGACCTAACAAGAAAAGTATTGGGAGGAGGGGAAGATTGGCAATCCTAAGGCAGTGGGTCATTTTATATAGTTCCTTTTACTGACTGACTCCCTCAACCTCACTTAATATTAATGAATCAAATGACCGTTAATTTCAGTCCTGTCACCAGAGACTTCACAAGCTACAGCACTACAATATTGGAGCATCTGGGTAAATGAAGGAAATAAAATGAGGAGGAATGAAGGTTTGAGACCGGAATACCTTGAGATGTAAGCCTATTATATTTTACTGGTGGATACCACTGACGGTGGGGAGCCCAGTTATTGGCCTTGCTCCTGTTACAAAAGCAGAAACTCCCAATCCTTGTGACCTTCCAGGCAAGGATCAGTCCATGTCAGAATTCTCTCCTCAAATTCCAATTAAAAAAAAAAACCAAACACCTCAAATTCTAAATTTCAAGGAAATGTTGTTCAGGCCCGATGGACTGTCTGTTGGGTCTTCTCTGCTGCTCAGTAATCTATCTCTTGTTGACTCCCTGTCCCCCCTCATCCTAACTGTTCAACAACCTTCATTCTCCTCAATGAACCTCTCCCAATCACTTTCACTCACAGCAAAAGTATCTACCACCAAGATCAAGACCCTCCCAGATGATCTCTCACTTTACCTCCTTTCTACCTCAAAGTTACCTGTAGTTTCACCTACTTTCACCTGATAAAGACATTTCTAAGAGTGTCAGCTCAAATCAACCAGCTGATTGTTAAATTTTCAGTTCGAGTTTGGCAAATACAACATCAGGGTCTGATTTATTATTTTGTTGATTGCGTAGACTTGGAAAAGTGATGAAAAAAAATGTTGATAATGCAGATTAAACTTTGAAGTGAGTTATGTAAACATTTTCCCCCAGTGGGGAGCCAACTGTTAAACATCTACCAGCATACTGCTGGGTATGTCCCTTCCTCGCTGCCAAAGCTAATTCTTTCACCCAAGCCTTCAATTCCATTTCCTTCTACTCTTCTGAGATACTCACCGTCTCCTTTCTCTTGCATCTTCAATCTCTCCCTCTCTCACGGTTCTTTACCCTCTGTTCACCTGGCCTGACCAGACTATTCTCTGCCTCCTGCAACCTTCATTTAACAGCCTTCTTGAATAACTCATGCTGTTCCTCCTACCAAGAATATTCTTCTCATCTCTAAGTCTTTGCCTGTAAAATACCTGTTCACTCTATTCCAGTACTTAGCAGGGTGCCTGGCACAAAGTAGGTGCTTAAGAAATGCTTGCTGATTTGGCTGCTGCTTAAGCTGATGTTTATAATGTTTGGGGGTCTTCAGGCAAAAATGGGGTTTGGGCTCAAATATCCTGAATAATTGCATAGCCCAAGATGTGAATACCTCCTATGGAATTGGTGCTAGGTTATACAGTGGGTAGTGTTGGACTTGGGGGTGGGAAGATCTGAGTTTGAATCCTTACTATCTAAGTGACCTAGAGCAAATTACTTAACCTTTCTCAGCCTCAGTTTCCTCATCTGTAAAATGAAGGGATTAAATGCTTCCAGAGGACCGAAGAATGCTACCTACAACCTGACAGAGGTGAGGGACTGATATGCAGGATGAGACACAATGTTTTTGGACATAGTCAATATGGGCATTTGTTTTGCTTGACAATACATGTTTGTTACAAAGGTTTTGTTTTTCTTTTTTTTCTGAGTAAAAAGGTAGAGGAAGCAGAAGAAAAAAGAAGTGCTTGATAATTGAAAAAAAATATTTTAAAACATGGGGGTTGGATTCAATGACCTCTCGGATCTCTTGAGATCTTTGGTCTCGGATACCGTGAAGTCTGTAGTCCTCCCTTGTTTGCTGAGGGAGATTATTTAATCAATAAAGAATTTATTCAAGAAAGACCAGTTCTCAGCCCGGGATGAAGAAACAGATGGTAACCTTTGCTCAGACAGTATTCTAAGCCTGGGACAGCCTACTGGAGTTTTCTTTGTAGTGGTGGTTCCTATCATTCTGGTGTATCTATGCTGAGCTCTGGGTAACCAAGGTTCTATATAGTCTTCAGCGTGTTAGTTTTCTGGTGATGCCTGCCCCTTCTCTACCCTGCCCGGTCCCCCTACTTCCATTCCCGAAAGAAACCTCATCTCTGAACTCAAAACCAAAGATAAGCCAGGTATATGTCAAGTCTAACGTTCAGTTTACAATCCAGAAACTTTGAGCCCTTCTCATTTCCCCTGGCAAAATGAGTCAGAGTGAAGGGGAAAAAAAACCTTCAATCTTTTTAACCTGTCACGACTGTCTTCCTGGTATTTCCATCAGAAAGGTCAACAATACCATCCTTTGTCTCTGAAACAAAGGGGGCGTGCCTGTAACTGGATGACTGTATGGAATCCCACTTATGAAAGATTTTATAATCTTCTAATTGCTACATTGCCTTAAAGATCCCAAGCTTCATTTCTAGGCATGAGCACCCTGATTATGTCTTTCTTTCCCCTCAAGCAGCAAACATTCACCTCCCGTACCCAGTCCCAAGGCTTGGCAAAATTAGCTCAGACGGTGTCTTGTCTAAGTCATATGATCTCAGAGCTCACCTGCCAAACCAGATTTTCCACATTGTAAGCAGGGTCAGAAACTCTACCAGAAACTGGCTCATGGTTTCTGCACTCACTGCGGTGGAAAGGCATTTTGGTAACTAAGATGATAATAAGACCAGTGAAATCACAGATCTTCTCCCTATCCTATCAAATGATCAATGGATCTATTTCCCTGACTCTTTCAAATGAGGCTCTGAGCACATTCTGACCAGAATAGGGGCTATAGGTGATACAGCCACAGGTGTTGGACTGTTGGAATCCTGCCTTAGATACTTACTAGCCAGTCAATCTATCTGTTTCCTTGTTAGCTTGACCTAGACTTAACCAGAGAGCCATAGATGCTAGCAGCCTAGTTCTCTAATAACTTCTATTTATGCAGTGTCCTTGAAGGTTTGCAAAGTGCTTTACGTGGATCTTAATTTAATCCTCGACAACCTATGAAGCCAGTGTAGCACAGGGCTCCTGTACAGTGCTATTATTATCTGTCTTTTATAGATGGGGAAACTGAGGCTCAGAGAGGTTGTGATTTGCCCAGGGTCACACAGCTAACAAGTGTCTGAAGTAGGATATGAACTCGGGGCTTCCTGACTTTAACTCCAAAGTTCTATTCACTATGACACGCTGCAATTGAAGTCAAGAGTTGGGTGATATGCCTGCCACCTAGTATGAACTTTAATAAACACCTACTATTTTGAACCCCCCAGGCAGCCAGGCCATTGTTTTCGGAGGAAAGTCCCCCGCCCCAAACCCTGCAATGACTTTTCAGGCATTCTTTCCTTAGAACATTTGTCTCACTGAGGGTATGGTAACCAATCTCTTAGGAAATGAAAGACAAGACCGGCTGAATTTCTGTTTCCCCAGCCCACCAGCATCCTAGAACATCATACCACATGCTGGTGGTCCCCTTCCCCAACTCCAAACCAGAATCAATAATGGGGGCGATACTGGGGGAGGTAGCCTGGAGTAACATCTCACCTCTCCCAGTGCACAAGTATCTGCATTTGTGGCATTCCAGTAGGCCAGCGGCCTCTGACTGGTAGTATTCCACCTCTTCCAATTCAGGCCTTGGGCTGAAGGTCAGAGATCTCCCCAAAGGGTAGTCACTGCAACAACATCAACAAAAAGTGGCAGTTAACAAAAAGAGAAAGGCCCAGGTTCAAATAGCACCACCCTGCATACTAGGAATAGAAGTATATGCACCTTTTTTTTTTTTTTTTGCCTTTTGGTGAGGCAATCGGGGTTAAGTGACTTGCCCAGGGTCACACAGCTAGAAAGTGTCATGTGTCGGAGGTCAGACTTGAACTCAGGTCCTCCTGATTCCAAGGCCGGAGCTCTATCCACTGTGCCACCCAGCTGCCCCTTAGGGATAGAAGTAAGAAAGAATCAAATAACCCTTAGAAGCAATGGGCTGAGAGATGCTAACTCGATGAAACCAAGCCCCTTTCTCCCTCACCGAGGGCTGGCAGGACTCTGAATCCTACCTAGATTTGCTAGCCCTGACTTGGTAGACCCCAAAGCTCTGTCCTTTCTGGGCCCTCTCAACACCAGGGGTTCTTAACCGTTTTTGTGTGTTATGGGTCCATTGGCAGTCTGGCAAAGCCATGGGCCCCTGCCCAGAGTAATGTTTTAAAGTGCGTAAAACACAGTATTACCAATTTGTTGTTGTTTAGTCATTTTTTAGTCAATTCCAAATCTTTGTGACCCCATTTGGGATTTTCGTGGCAAAAATACTTGGAGTAGTTTGCCATTTTCTTCTCCAGCTCATTTGACAGATGAGGAAACTGAGGCAAACAGGGTTAAGTGACTTGACCATGGTCACACAGCTAGTATCTGAGGCCAAATTTGAACTCAGGTCTCCCTGACTCCAGGCCTATCTGTCCATTCATTGAATTACTTAGCTGCTAGCTTAGTACACAGTAGGCACTTAATAAATGCTTGTTGACTTGAGATTGTTAGTGTACTCCCCCCTAAAACTCTCTTGTATTGATTTGGTGTATTATGTGCATGTGTATTTGTCTGCATTTTGCCTCTTTTCCAACACTTAGCACAGTGCCTGTCACACAGTAGGCACTTAATGTTTACTGACATACCTTCATTTTATCTCTTTGTATCCCCAGCACTTAGCAGTGCTCGGCAACATAGTAGGTGCTTAATAAATGCTTATTGACATAGATAAATGTTCTGTCTCCCCCTTTAAAATGTAAGCCTTCTGTCTTTGTATCACCAGTGTTTAGCACATAGTAGCACTTAATAAATGCTTGTTAATAATAACTAGCTTTTGTCTGTCTTTGCAAAGCACTTTCCATGCTATCCTGTATGATCGTCATCACAACCCAATGAGGTAATTATTATTATCCCCATTTGATAAGTAATTATTTGTCAATTAATGATTGATTGGCACATGTTGGCCAAACCGCAAGCATAGATGAGTTAAATCTGTTTCAGTAGAACTCTGTGTAAAAAGTGGGGCAGGGACACCAGGTGGTGAAGGGAATTTAAATGAGAAAGGACAACTAGCTCCAAATAAAAGTCTTCTCCTGCGCACATCTAAGAATCAAGAAGAACAAAGATGTTTCCAAGAAGGATTATATTGAAGCTGGATTTAAGTGAATATACACATACAATGTTAGAAACTGAAAGGGACCTCAGACCTCATCTAGACCAGGACATTCAATTTACAGAAGAGGAAACTGAGGCAGGAGCGCTTGCTCCTGAGACAGCCTAGAATGCAGTGTTCTAACTGGCTCTGCTTTCTAGATCCTGGTCGGAGGAAAACAGTTCTAGTGGTCTCTACTCTTTGGTTGAGAAGTCTGGGGTTTCCACTAAAGATATGGCCCAACTCCTCTAACCAGACAGACATCTTGGTAAATCCTCTGAACCTCTGCCGACTGCTCGGTTGGCCTGTGGAATGCCACTGACTTTGGGCAGCTGCTGCCACACTCCACTCAGGAGAAGTCTGACTTTCTCAAAATTAATTTTCAATTCTGTCAAGCCAGTTAACATTTCTCTCCCCACACTCTTTACCTGCTGTTTGGTAAATCAATCAATCATTAATTAACAAAGAATTACTAAATGGGGATAATAATGTTTAAGAAAAAAAGTCTGAAATCAGCAGCTCGAGACACCGTCAACATTTGAGTTTCAAGTGTCTGGGTCCTCACACACTCTCGCCTTTTCCAAGTTAACCCACTAACTTCGAGGCACTTCTCACATACATTCCTTTGGGAATAACTCTTTGGAAAACACTAGCTGGATGTTTGGGGACACTCCGCAAACCATAAAGCACGCCCCTGGAACATAACCACCTACTTTTAACTTTAATCCAAGGCCCCAAAGGACTCAGTCTCCCAGCAGTAGAGAATTACAAAGGAAGGTTGTTTATTAGGCTGGACGTGCCCCAGATTACTGTATTTGCAATGCAAAATTGCTTGAGGTGGGAGTCAATGACTAAAACTGGGCCAAGTTAAGTGGTGAGGAGTGGGGGGAGAGTAGAAAAGGGGGAGGTGAGACCATTTCTTTATCGGGGTAACAAAGTAGCACACTTCTATAGATTAGAGCAAGTTTGAGATAGTGCAATGTAATAGTTTATTCAAACTGTAGCTAAGTGGGGCTGACCTCATGGCTACCTTCCAGAAGCTTCCTTCAAGATTCAACGTGGATTCCTGCCTCCCCTTCCAAGAAATCTCCATTTCCTATTGGGTCTCTCTCCTTCCACAAGAGCACTCTGATCTCTTCTCCGGCGCTCCGCTCTCCCACTCCTTACCTTCAGCACAACTCAAATTATTTGAGGCCAAACACTATTCGATTTTGGTTTTCTGTGTAGGCTCAGTACATTGCACTTACATAGTAAGTCCTTATTAATAAATGTTTTTGTTGTTGTTGAATCATTTCAGTAGTATCTGACTATGTCCCCATTTGGGTTTTTTTTTTGGCAAAGATACTGGAATGGTTTGTAACTTTCTTCTCTAGTTCATTTTACAGATGAAGGAGGAATCTGAGGAAAACAGGGTTAAGTGATTTGCCCAGAGTCACACAGCTATTTGAGACCAGATTTGAACTCAGTGACTCCAGGCCTATAACTCTATCCACAGAGTTTAATAATAATACACAACCTTCCTTGCTTCTTAATAAGCAACAGAACTGGAAAGAGAGATGAATGGTGAGTGTCAGGTAGGGTTGGGCTGCCAATAAAGGTTTAATATTAGGTAGAAAGGAGGTAAACCCACCTTGGATAGAGGGAAGGGGAAAGAAGAAAAGGGTCTCGTCTTTGGGGAAATGATAGGTTTATGCTCTTTACCAGATTTTCAAAATCCTTTTACTTTTTTCCCCTCTCAGAGATTGATGGTGTTAGAAGCTTGGGAGCTCAGAGACATATATTGAGTATCAGTCAGGAGGTGTTCTGTCCTGTGCAAGGATGACTTGAAAGGTGATGTCTAAAAGGTCCCGCAGAAACGATGGCCCTTAAGGGGTCCACCTAAAATTCTACCATTACAAAGTCATTCCTTTGGGTTTAAATCATTGCCTCTTCTGTTAAGAGGCAAACACATCAACTAACCCATACTGAAGTACTAACTTATTATTGAGGCCTAGGAAACAGGAGTCAGGTGTAGTGGTGAGGATGATTTTGGAACAATTTTGGCACATTTAAGGGTTTTTTTTTCCCATCAGAGAGCTACCAGTCATCCTAACCCATGTCTTGTTACTAGACTGTGATGACTCTGGAGGAGAGTAAGGCTGGTGACTTTGCACAGCCCGGCGTCGCTTAAATCCAATTCACTAGCACAAGTCAAGACATCACCTCCTGACATCATTGGTCCTCTTCTAGAAGGAAGGACAAACAGTAACACCAGGCCCTGGCAGAATCTAGGGGTAGGGTTAGGCTACCAGTAAAGTAGGATGTTTTTGGAGGGAAAAGAAACTGGATCCAAGGTCTGGTGTCCCGAATTGGCTGCAAGTGAGCAGAATAATCATTCAACAAGCAATTATTAATAAGTTGTGCCTTACTCTGTGCCAGGCACAGTTGAGTGCACAGAACTGAGGTTTAAAGAAAAAAAAAAAAGCAAAAGCAGTTTCAGCTCATTTGGGAAAATCAGAGCGAGGGTAGTAGATTTTGAAATCAATCCAACCGATACTTATTAAAGACCAACCGTGGGCAAAACACGGTGCTAGGGATACAAAGGCAAAAAGCTGGTCTGGGTGCTGGACAACTGGCCAGCTCGCGGTTCCCCAAACTCAACGCCTCTTACCCCCACGGCCACAATTCCCTCCCCACCTCTACTCCGAAGAGACAAAGCTTCACGCTCCAAACTCAGGTGCCACCTCCTACGGAATGACAACATACGCTCTTCCCGAGGAAGAAGCAAGAATCGATTACCTTTAAAACCAGTTATGCCCTGGACTGGAGCCAAGTGCCCTCCTGGGTGCGGCCAAATTGCTCCCGGAGTATCAACCCAATTCAGGCCTAACCCTTCCTGCCCCCCACCTTATGGAGGGCCAGGAGGAGAACTTTGGATCCTGATGGGGGTTGAGGGAGGTGCTAAAAGGGCTCCTTTTCTCCCTGCCCTCAAACCCGGGGGGGCTCCCCAACTGCTACCACAATCCGTGCTCACCTCTCCGACCGTCCGAACCCAGTCTTCCTCTGGGCCCAGGGATCTGGCGTTTCTTCCCGGGCAGGCCAGAGGGGAGGGGCTCTGTCCCGGGGCTGCTCCCAAACTACGTCCTGGGTCCTGCTTTGGCGGGATTTTTCTCGAACCCTTTGTCCATTCGAGCGGGGGTGCTCCCAGTCCTGTCTGTCCAGGCGCGGGTCTCGCTCGCTCCGCCTGTCCCCATCTCGGTCCCCGCGCCGGTCCCAGTCTCTGTTCTCCCGCCGGTCCCGGTCTCTGTCCCCCCTTCTGTCCGGATCTCGGTCGCCCCGCCTGTCCCAGTCTGGGTCTCTAGGTCTGTCCCCGTCTCGTTCCCGCCGTCTGTCTCTGTTCCGCTGTCTCTCCTGGCCGTGATCTCTGTCCCTCAGTCTCTCCTGGCCGTGATCTCTGTCCCGCAGTCTCTCCTGGCCGT